TTGTAAATTATAGCAAACATATTAAGCTAGGTAGACTAAAATATGGTCCAGAATCAATCAGCTTCCAGGATTCCTGAAGAAATCTAGTTGCTAGCAGTGAGAAATTTGTTTGCAGACATTTCATCATCTAACTAGGTAACATAATCAATGCTAATGAGTGTAGTGCTTATTTCCTTTTTATATACAGTAGCTTGCCCTGCCAATATTAGTGTTTTTCCCTTGGTAGTTCCTTGATTGGGATACTGTTTTCTGCTTGTCTGTCTGGTGTTAATCCCTGCTTAATTGAAGACTGCTGGAAAGAATGTGTTTGTCTTTTTAATTGCTTAACTTTTTTGTTGCTTCTTTTGAATGCTATGTAAATGTAGTTTATCTCTATGTGTTTATTGATGTCTTATTCAATCGAAGAGAATATATGTACCTTCTGGTTGAACTGTGGAGTCCCTGGAGCTCTCTGAGTGCTGAGACATCAACAGCTCTCTTAGTCCTCAGACTTGTTATATATCCGAGGGGAGAAAATCCTTCTTTCAATTATCCATCATATACAGAAATTATAATTTTACCCAAGAGTCATTGTTGTGAAAATAACAAGAGCTGGAGATTCGTTTATGTACATAAGTTTTGCAACATTGAGTACCAATTAAGTAACAGCATCAGTGGAGGGAAATAGATTGGTGAAATGTATAGTCCAAATACAAGACAATAAAGTTGTAACTTCAACAAAAGGCCATCAAATTAAAAGATCATTTTTAAATAAAGCATGGCTACAAGTTTCACCACTTACTCTATTTTTTATTTAGGCCTAAATATGTAAATAGATTCTGCCAACCTAGAAGTTCGAAAGCACGTAAAAAATTGCAAGTAGAAAAATAGGGACCACCTTTGGTGGGAAGGTAACAGCATCTGTGGCATTTAGTTATGCCGGCCACATGACCACGGAGATGTCTTCGGACAGCGCTGGCTCTTCAGCTTTGAAACGAAGATGAGCACTGCCCCCTAGAGTCAGGAACGACTAGCACATATGTTCTAGTGCTTTATCTTTACCTATGTAAATAGAATCATCATTGCTTTAGCAGAAAAAGACAAGTATGGCTTTCTAATGACTTATTTATTTTTTAAATGATTGTTTGATCAGTATAATTTAATTTCAAAGGAGTATTTCTTTAAACATGATTGTACCTTTTGTGTCTAACAGAATTGGGAATTGATTCAACAATGAGCAGAGTAACAAGGATAATCTATTACTAGGCCATCACTAATCAACCTACTTTCATTAAAAATAATTAACATAGAAAACAATTTATTTCTTAAGAATGAAAAGAGCAAGACTGAATTGAGAAATCCTCACTAAAGAGGCTGAATTGAGTAAATGAGTCCACAATGGTCACAGAATCAAAGAGCTACTGGTAATTTGCATCAACATACCATGTGTTTGCCAGTAGCAATGTTTGATACAGCACACTACAGCTTCATATTTGTAATGATCAACTCTACTGTTTTTGGTTTTGTTTTTTATTTATATGCAGCCCTTCTCTGAAGACTCAGGGTGGCTTACAATGCGTTAAGCAATAGCCTTCATACTTTTGTATATTTTATACAAAGTCAGCTTATTACCCCCACAAACTGGGTCCTCATTTTACCTACCTTAGAAAGGATGGAAGGCTGAGTCAACCTTGAGCCTGGTGAGAATTGAACTCGCAGTAATTGCAGGCAGCTGGAAGCTAAATACTACCTTTTAACAGTAGCATTAGTCTGCTGCACCACTCAGGCTCTTTTGGTTTTACCACTGCAAGAAGAAAGCATGATCAAAGCTATCAGGTAAGGTTACCATTTTTTAAAAAAATTAGTTATTACTAAAGATATTTTCTTAATGAACTTTAACTAAATGCTCCTTCAACAGCTACTAGCTGCAACATAATTCATCTACTTGAGTCAGAACCAGAAAGTCATATTGGTTTCTGGAATTTGTCCAGTATAAAACATAACCCTCAATCTCACAATCACCTTGAAAGAATACTAGTGTCTGGATACTTGCCTGCTCTTATTCAAAGCAAGCAGTATAAAAACATTATGGTTCTTATTCTGCCTTCAAAGCTTTTATATGAACCTTTTATCTGCAAGTTTTGAGGAAAAAATGACAGGCATATAGTAAAATATGACAAATGTTTGATCAAATGCATACTAAGTACCATCATGTATCAAAATGCAAGTAAAACAAGAATTACCTATTAATTTAGCAAATATATTAATTAGCAGCATTGCAAGCACTTAATTGTATGGTGCCTGGTAATTCTATAGCCAAAAGAAGTTGGCCTCCATGGTAAGATATTAAGAAGTAAGCCACAGTAACATCAACAGATTTTGTAAGTTTCACAAAGAAGTGGCTACCTTCTCCACTCTGGATAAACTTGGCACACTCCATGGACTTTTGCTTTCAAAATAGACAAGACAGTGTTCACAGATTTACAGGCACTTTGGCAACTGAGTTAATAATTATGATAAAAATGACAACTACTATTACCATAAAAAAGAAAAGCCAGATGCTTATATAACACAGCAACACATATATCATTCTCCAGTGTTGGCCCTTAGACAGAGGAAAATAGTTAATGCCAAAGCATTCAAGAACAAAACTGAACTCCTCTACCCTGACTGACATCTCTTATATCAAAATTGAAATTTAAATGGACCTGTATCATGTATAATTCACTAGATCAGAAATAATTAGTATTAAAGAATGCATGTCGGCTACTAATTGAAAAAAATTGTACAAAACTCTATTCTTCAGAACTATTTTTTTAACCTCTCCCTCATTTGTTCTGAATGCAGTTTTGGAAAATAAAGTTCAAGCTGTTACTGCAGCCCATTTTAAATTAAAATCTGATGCTGCTGCCCCACCTCCACATGTTATGTTTTAAGGAATTAAGTCACATGTATGCTTTTCTCCATAAAACCAGATGACTTTGCAAAAGTAACTTGTGTTCATGAATCTTTGCAATGATGTCAGGTTTGTCCTCAGAGAGTGAAACCAGCATCCCATCATCTTTTGTGGAACCACAAAAGCTAGCATCATTTATCTTTCTTTTGATTCTCAAATAAACTTTGTATCTTAAAAACAGGAAACTTTACTACTTTAAATTCTGGTTCAGATTTTTTTAAATTTTATGTTTGTATTAATATTATAACTCTTACAACTTTCAGTTTCAGGAACTGAAGTTTCCAAGTAAGTTTAAGAGGTACATTAGGTTGTATCATTAAATTCATTAGATTATATTACTGAAAACATCACACACACACACACACATTTAGAAATGTGTACAACATAACATTTTCTTGGGACTTTTGAAGCATGCTAACAAAGTGATTAAAATAGTTATGTTTCACTGGACACTTAGGAATTAAGTTTACCTGGGCTTGTTGTGATGTCCTACTATATGTTTTATTGCTGTAAACTGCCAAAAGTTTTGTGATAGGATGGCATACAAATTTATGTAATAATAAGTATGGGTCATTCTCACCACTCATCAAAAGAGAAAAATGAATCCCAGGAGTCCACTAACAAGGAGTTGCAAATCAAATTGTAGGCATTAGTAGGTTACAGAATCTCTTTATGTTTCCTCTGAAGAAATTAGATATAGGATTGTAGCCTAAAAATCAACACCAGTTGTTTTTTGTTGCTTAAAAAAATACTTCTATAGTCCAACATAGTACTTTTAAAAAAAGAGCTTTTTTCTTGAAACCTCTCCCTTCGTTCAAATCTTTTCCCACGGATACAGAATACAGAATAACGTGTTACTCAATTAATGCTTTTCACTCTATCCAGCTGTAACTTCTGCTGGTACCAAAACATCCCCCGGAGCGGAAAAATCCGCCCGATTGACACATGCTGACACTGGTTTTGGACCGCAGCCTGCAAACACAGGAATCCACTGATTTACTACCTCAGATAACTACCACCCCACCTTACCTAATCTCAATGCAAAGCAGGAGAAAACGCTGCCCGAGGGATCTATAACCGAAAAACAGATTCAGCTCCCCAATAAATGCCAGACGAAGAAACGCCGCGCCGAAGCTTAGCGCCTCTGACGAAGTTGAGGGGATCGGACCAAAAAGAAAAAAGAAAAAAAAAAGCGACTTTACACCAGACCTTCCGGTCGCAGGCAAGTTTACTCCAGAGTAAAATTTCTCTTAGCACAAGGCTTGCTCTTGAAGGCAGACCCACCCAACTGCAGTCTAAAACGGCTCCTGGTGGACGAACATGGGCGAAGCGCTGACCCAGCGGTCCACTACCGTAAGGGAACTCGTAGGGTCACACAAAGGAACCGGAGAGACGGGAAAAATCCCAGCAAAAACCAACCTAAGGGATGTGAGGCACGCATCTCGCTTTCTCTGCCCGAGCGCGCCTTCCTTCCCCCTCCCAGTCCCCCCCCCCCCCCCCCCCCCGGAAAGCAAAAGTACGGCGCCAACTTTACGCCTGCTTTTTTAAACGGAGGGCAAGATGCCGGTATCAGAAGGGGGAGGGACGGGGGAACTACCACGCCAACAAGCAGCACGAGAAACGAGGCAAAAGGAAGCGCGGGACTCCGCCGCGAGACCAAAAGGGAATCGGGACCGAGTTACATTCCCCAGAGGGGGGAAAAATATAATAAAAAAACTTCAGCTCGCCGCGTCCACGCGCCGGCGGAAAGTTTCGAGCCCTCCTCAACGGCGGCTGCGCCTACGAGGAACAACCTGAAAGCCCCGCGGTGTGTGGAGGAGGAGGGGGAGACTGTTCCCTCCTCCTCCTCCTCCTCTTCCTCTTCTTCCGCAGCATCCTTAGGAAAGACACCCGGCGTTCAACAGGCTTCCCTCGGGCCACGAGCGCACGCGCGCTCTTTGCCGCCACAAAAATCAAGCCGAGCCATTCCTTGGTCTCTTGTCAAGCTCTTCCACCTCCCCCTCCCGCCCCGCTCCGCTCCTTCCTCGAAGAAGACAAAGTAAAAAAGAAAAAGAAAAGAACAAACCCAGTCAGAGTTCCCTCGACGCCCGTTTTCTCCTCCTCCTCCTCCTTCCTCCTCCCCCTCCGCTCCTGCTTCTCCTCCTCCTCCTCCTCCCGCTGTCAGTCGCCGAAAGGAATCCCGAAGCCAACGCCAAGTCATCAAGTTCTCCCTTCGTCCAACTCCACCGAATTCCAGCCAGGGGATTTTCCCGGACTCCGCGTGCGCGTTGGGCCGAAGGAGAGGGCGCGAGGGCGTCGGAGAGTGACTATGCGGAGAAAAGAGCCAGCCGTGGACGGCTCCGGAGGAGCTAAAGCTTGCAGCCCCGACAGCCGCCTGCCTTGAGCCGACCCCAGGCGACTCGCAACAACGGACACACACACACACACACAATCACACAGACGCGCGCCCGCGCGCGCGGCATGAGAGAAAAGCGCCGCTCGCTGCCGCCTCCTTGGCTTCAGCCTTCTGGGCTCAGCCACTGAGGGAAAGTTTCCTGACGTCACGGCCCTGGGCTGGCTGGCTTCCCCGCCTCGCTCCCCCACCCCTCCCCTTTCATCTGCTGGAAACAGCAGGGTGGCGTGGTTCCCTCAACCTAAGGCCGGCCGTGGGGCTGAGAGAGGGATAGGCGGCTTCCTCCCCACCCCACCCCACCCCCGAGCAAATGTAACGGCTCTTTCCTTCCCCTTCTATGACCAGGAGACAGAACTTTATGTTCCTGGATTCTCTTTTCGATCCTTTCGGGTGGAGGGAAAGTTTTAAGGGATTAGAGTCCGTTGGGTTAAACAATAACCAAACAGAACCCACCTTGGTTTTGGTTTGTATTGGTCTTTGTTTTATTATTTGCGAACGGCCCAGATTCGGGTGGAGTTGACTAGAATTAAACAAACAAATAATAACATTTTTGTTAAGGCTTCATTGATTTCGGAGTCAAGCAGAGATACAGTAGCGCTCAGCGCTGGTATCACTTTGCCCAAGTCCAGCTTGAAGATGGATGAATTTATTACCCTTGGCTGAACTGAATGAAGCGTTGAGGGAAAGGTAGAAGCTGAGGTTGGGTGTTCGTTGATCCTGTCTTTTCTGCAGTGAACTTTGGATGAAAAGAAAAAAGAAAAAAAAGCAACTGGATCTTTTATCTAACCCCCAATCTATCCTCCAAGTTGTTTTGGTGTAACTAATTATGAAAATAACTTACTGTTTCTCTTTACAAAGTATGTTTCTGTTTAACTTTTAATTTCCAATATGAAGGTATGATGACTATGATCATGATTTATCACTTATAGCTTTTATGTACACTGACAGCTTATGCACCGAAGACAAATTCCTTGTGTGTCCAGTCACATTTGGCCAATAAAGAATTCTAGTCTATAGTTCTGCAGAAAATCCAAGCAAATCACAGCTTGCTTTGCCATTCTGCATAGGTCACCCTATTTTTAAAACTGTAGAGGTACCCTCAAGCTGAGCTTGTCTCCTGGTGACTGCATTTTGAGATGTTGCAAATTAGAACGAGGGAAACTAATGCCTACTGCAGTAAGCCTTATTTATCCTTGGGCTAGATCAGACTTGCCCATTGAAATCAGGAATCTGCGCTATGCTGGCTAGGCTGTATAGCATCAGAGATGTGTAGAAAACTAGCCAGGGGTACCATAATTCTGCCAGTGTTTAAAATGTGTCAATCATCTATCAGCTTATTGTGTTCAAATTACAAGATCCTTTCAGTGTTTTCCTTACCTCTCTTTTTCAGAAAGTAAGGAGAAGCATGATTTGGCTGACACTGAGTCGGTTATAAGCAGAGATGATGAATTCATTAAACTCTTTGCCTATTCCATAAATCAAATACCAAAAAAAGAAGGCAGTCTGTGGAACAATTTGAATGGCAATGTAACCTGCAGTGTTTTCAAAGCTAATAGCTAAAGCCTTTCTGAAATCCTATATAGATAACATAGAGTGCAGCCAAACAAATTACTATATTTACCCAGAAAACTACGGATTTTCCCCAAATAATTGATCTATGGAATGGGAGAGTCATTTTAATAGCCTGAGAATGTAGTAATGTAAACAAAAGGTGTGGAAGTACTGGAAACAGAAACTGCTTTCAGCAATTAAGGGGTACCTTCTGTGTACTTCTGTGGGAATGTGATGTTCAGCAAAACATATATAATAAAGTGACCTATCATCATCATCATCAAATACAAAGACCTGCAAATAGAAGTGGAATGAAATTGGCAGAAGAAAGCAAAGATAGTACCAATAGAATTGGTGTCTTGGGTGCAAATCCCAAAATATCTGGAGTACTATTTGAACGCTATTGGCATTGACAAAATCAGTCAATTGTAAAAAGCAGCTTTACTTGGAACAGCTTACATCCTGAAATGATACCTTTAACACCATCAAACATGTTCTCTATGTTCTAAACATCTGCCCATCCCAGGTCTTTAGGGGAGAGATGAATAGTTGGATAAAAATATGACTCACGGTAAGATTAAGTGGCTATAATATGCTCAAGTGTAATCAGAATAAATAGTGTAACTTCAAGATTACAGTAATAGTAGCTTACGGTTGGATACTATATTTCTCTAATATTTACTAGGTAGGAATTTAGCATAAACATTTTAATAAATTCAGTCCAAATTACCTGAATTGGTAGCTATGTAAACAATAAATTTAGAAATACAGTTTTCTTTAGAACTGAAAACCGTGATCAATGTATTTATTTATATGCCTGTACTAGCTTATTCAAGGCGACACAGTGGCTCAAGTGGTTAAGACACTGGGCTTGTTGGCTGGAAAGCCAGCAGCCCAGGTTTGAAACCTGCGCTCCACACAATGGGATGAGTTCCCATCTTCACCCCAGCTCTGACAAACTAGCATACAAATGCAAGTATATAAATAGGTACCACTTCGGTGGGAAGATAACAGCATTCCATTACATTATGCCAACTACATGACTGCAGAAATGTCTTCGGACAGCACCAGCTCAATGGCCTTGAAACGGAGATGAGCACTGCCCCCTATAGTGGAGAATGATTAGTGGAGTAAAATCCGCAGGGACTCTTTTACCTTTTTTTACTACGCTTATTCTCATTTTTCCTCAATAAATATATGCTTGAATTCTCAAGCTAAAAATTCATTATTAATTATTCATCTTTTTCCTTTCCCCCATTTTATTCTGGGATAAGATCTCAGCTACTTCCATTTTTTCATTTCCTAAAACTGACATTATAGAAAGAAAGCTGTTTATGGTAGCCCAAACACAGTAATTTGTAGCACCTTCTCTAACTAACAGATATTATTAAAAAGCATAAGGCTTTGTTGGGTGTAGGGTCACTGGATTAAATACCTAGAATGATTAATTGATGTAGAATTTGAAGAGAGGATGAGTCAAGTAAAGGGAGAAAGTAGTTATACAGGTTATATGTGAGACAGATTACTTCATCAGTTAGCAATTATAATATATTAAAAATCCATTGTGTTTGTGATCTTCTAAAATAGCTGAAATCTTTTGATGTATATGAATTCAGCAGTCTTACTCATTCTCTAAAGCTGACATATATTCTTTGTACTGAAATGGCAATTTACAGATATCATCAAACCTGAAGTGAATTCTTGTAGGCAACCTAAAATAACCAAACAATTATGCTAACACGGGAATTGGGTCCTGCAACAAACTCAGATAACTATTCTTCTTCCAGTACCATCACTTTCTCAACAACTTTACACACACGATTAGAGGTGCCTTCACATGTACTTTTCCAATGTAGTATATGCCATCATCTGTTAGCAATGCCACTCTTGATTCTATATAAGACAAACCTAGCATTAAAAAATTAATGGACATAAGATTCAGAATAAGGACAAAGTACTGTCAGAACATTTTAATCTCCAAAGACACTTTATAGTAAATCTCATAGTGACTGTTTTGGCAAAACAGGACTTTAACTCCATCATCGAGCAAGAGGTTACTAAACTCTCAAACATTAAAAGGTTTCAGGCTATGTCAGAAAATCTTAACAAATAGGTTTTGACATATTACAGTTACAATTTGGATCAGATGTGAGTAGTATCTGACCCAAAGACCCCCAATGAACTTCTGTGGACGAATATACTTGAAACTGATTTCTCCAATTCTTCTCAAACACCCTAACTATTCATACCCCGTCTGAAAATAAATAGATAAGATGTTGCAGGCATTGTTCAAGCCAATTCATTATTTTAAATATCAGCTGAATAAGAGGACTAGCTGTGTAAAGAAATGAACCATTAAAGAATGAGATATGCTGGGTATAAGATTCCTCTTCTAAATTTTTTTTTGGGGAAATGTCATTTACCAGGGATATACACTTTCATCCATTTTCCTATAGATATGACTATAGATGTTTGTAAGTAAAAAATTGCCTTTTGACTTAAATAGGAAGCAAGCAAACTTGCCAAGAAAAATGCAAGGACCAGTCCAGGCAGTCACCAGGAGTCAACCCTGATCAAAGGCTATATCTATACCTGTATCTCTATGACACCTATCGTATTTTTCAGAGTATAAGACACACATTTTTCTCTCCTAAAAGAGGCTGAAAATTTGGGTGCATCTTATACTCCGAATGTAACCCCGTGCGGTGCCCAAAATGGCTACCCGGAACACCTGCTGCCTTCTCTTACCTCTTCCACGCTTTTCCTGCTTTAGTCACTGGAGCTCCGTCCGAGGATCAGCTGTGCTTTTGAAGCTGTTTTTCAGCCCCAAAGTGAGGGAAGTGATCTTCCGTGTTTTGCCTGCTTTTTTAATTGTTGCTCCCTCCGGCGATCAGCTGTGCTTTAGAAGCTGTTTTTAGCCCCAACCAGCCCCAACCTCAAAACCAGAGAGCAAACTAATGTGCTGAAGCTGACCAGGCTAAGGACTAGCCAGATGAATACCTGGTAGGCAGAATTTTTTTTTCCTGTTTTCCTCTCCAAAAACTAAAGTGCGTCTTATACTCTGAAAAATACAGTATATCTATCTATCTATCTATCTATCTATCTATCTATCTATCTATCTATCTATCATCTATCTATCTATCTATCCATCCATATATCTATATATCATCATTTATCTCATCAATATATTTGATTTGAAAGTATATCCAAC